CCTAATAAGCTTCCTAATAAATCTTTGCCAGACTTAAAAACAAAACAAACAAAAAAAAAAACAAATACTACCAACAAAGTTTAAGTTCTTCAGAGAAGTATATAAAATTCAAATGTTAACCTCCAGAATTAATGTGAAAAAGTATCACCTGTCCACTGATTTTTAACTGCCCCATCCACATATACACTAAAATGTCCACCTTCCCATCTATAAACACAGAATGTCAAAAGAACTCAATTCCATTGCCGTAGCATTGCAGAAGGCCACTTGCTCATAATCCAGTCAAAGTTTACCTTACAGAGGAAAATACTGGGAGTAAAGACTGGTGAAAGCATTCTAGGGGGAAGTTCACTTTGTGTTTATTTTCAACATGAAGTTTAAGACCATTCCAGCCATGATCTGAATGGAAGAAAGTTCCTTCATTCATTAAGCAAGTATTTACTGAGTGTCTTGTTACACGCTAAGCACCTAATAAATATCTCAAACAGTGCTACCAAAAAGCAGTAAATGCATTTGACCTAAGGATGAACAAATGACTGATCCTATCTAGAAAATGTAATCTACTGGACATACAAGAGTCTTCTTTAGATGGAGGGTTGTGAGAGAAATATGACACAAAATAACCCATCACTGGATCAAGGTAATTTCTCACCTTTATCACAAGCTTTACTATGAATTACAAATTTATTTCCACTGGCAAGGATCAATAATCAGCACCCCAGCTTACTGAATGGATCATAAAAAAAAAAAAAGGTGGGGTTCTAATATCCACCCCAAACTGCAGAACATTTACTTTATTTATATTTACTTCACCTGGGTAGAATAATGTGAGGGCAACCATTTACTGGAAAATTAAAGAGGCATTCTCGGCTCTTTGAAGAATTAATCAGGGAAAGTTCTCATGCCTATACTATTAAAATAGCTCCAATTTAACTGGCTATTCTCTTTCACCCAAACCCCTGAGGTCCAAATGCTTATTCTTTGGCTTTCTTTAGTTATTAAAACAGTGGTGTTTAGAGCATCGTTTTAAACAATTTATGTTTTTTTCCCCCTCTATTTTACCACTGGTTCAGTCCTCTTACCCACAAAAATAAGAAATGCCCAAGTCTCCAGCTTCTGAAAATAACATCTGGTATGTGCACATAACAAAGATCTTGAGAGAATGTCCTAGTTTTTATTTAAAACTTTTTCACTTAAAATGAGAATGCCTTTAGCAAAGATTAGACATAAATGTTTTTACCTTATTAGGAAATTGCTATTTGCAACATTTACCTTAAACCACAACATGGATTTATCTTCTAACCTGTTAGCTTCCTGTCTCTCACCAACTAGATTAGACTGTAACTTTTTTGAGAGGACGGGATGACTGGACCCCAACAGAACTGGACCTGTTCCCAGCAAATGTATTTCAAAAACTCTGTAAGTCTCCGCAAAGACATACATGTTGCTAGCCTTCAGGATTTCTCTAATTTTTTAAAGCTGTTTTGATTAGAGCACTTGTCCTTCACTGTTACTATAGATGTATACTAGCAGATTCTCCAAGTGTGGTTTCCAAAACCCTGTCAGGGGGTATGTGTAGTCAAACCATTTTCATGAATAATATTAAGATGTTACTTTTATTGTTTACCCTCATTCTCTCACAAGCACACAGTGGAGTTTTCCAGAGGCTACATGATGGGTGATATCTCAAGAGACCGAATGCAGAAGCAGATATGAAAATGCAGCTGTCTTCTATTAAGCTAGACATCAAATAGAGCTGCAGAAATGTAAAATAATGCCACTTTCCTCATTAAATTTGTTTTGAAAAGTACAGTTATTTTCTATAAACCATTATCTCTATTAACAGGTAATGGATTACTGTTATTTGTAAATGATTTAATAAAATATATTTAAAATTTTTGTTTTAATTCTAGTACAGCAAATATCAATAGATACAATCCATACAAAGGTTGAGTTCTCAATAATTTTTAAGTATAAAGGGATCCTGAGAACAAAAAGTTTGAGAACCACTGCAATACACAATTACATAACCTAACACACAATGCCTTCCACAGATAAGAAGCTCAAGTCAATGGTGAAGTATAATTACTTCTTACACCCCCTAATCTTGTTGAGTAATATATCTCCTTGCAAAGCATAATTCCGGCATAAAGCCAGTCTGTCCTAGGCCCTAGTTAAGGGGCTTTAGATATTTAAGTATGTGGAGTCCTATTTATAAAGATGTTCTGGCCTGTAATACCAACTATTACTTCCATAGTGTACAGGAGTTTCCCAACATTTTCACAAAAAATTACTTTGTTCATCCTAGCAGCAACCTGTGAAGTAAATGTGAAGTATTACCCTTTTTTACAGATGACATAATGAAACTGACGCTCAAAAGCAAAAGAACTACTTGTCCAAGGATGTATTGCTAGCCAGGAGAGCCTAGGATGTTGGCCTTTTGCAATTTGCTTGGCTGCCTTAAGGCTGTTTCACTGTGGTGTAATTGCAGGCTCCCAAAGAAAACAAGGCAAGGGCATTACTTTTATTGTCCCAGTGCCAAAACAGGGATTTTTTTTTTTTCCTCCTTAATAAGAATGTAATCAGACTCAATACCCGGTCACAGCATTATTTAACACACTGGCTACCCTTTTGGTCCACTCCTCAAAAAAAAAAAAAGGAAAGAAAGAAAAGAAATTCAAGAGTGTTGGGGAATAAATACCAGAATACATATTACTCCAAGATGATGAATTAGTTAAGGATTCACAAATTTACTAATCATTTAATCACTGGAACAGGCAGGCAAGAACAAGATCAAGCTCAATACAATAAGAGATTCTATCAGTGAATGGATGCCAAGAGGTTAAAACAGGAGGCCCAGATGAAATGGGCTCAATTCACAAAATATGGACAGAAGAAAAAAACCCACAAAGTTGTAAAACTAGCTTTATCGGTTCTACAAATCCAAGCACGTGACTAGCCACCCTAGTAAAGCAATGTCAGAGACAAACTTTGTTGTAAGATGCATCAAGACGCCATCCTTCTCCTGGGAGAGAAATGACCCCATCTTTACAGCTAGACACACTGGTTTGTTCTTGCTATCAGCACAAGTCTCTTAGTTATGCTCCATTTTACCTTAAGTTCCTCAAGAGATACTCAATTTTCTGCACTCTTTTCCACAGTCAAGTGGACTCCCTGACTGACAAAGGCAAGAGTGACTCACAACAGGATACGCGCCACTTGCATAAACTCTTTTCGTTTTGTAGATGCCTGTGCCCAGTGAGGCCATCTTTAAATTTGATGTGAGTTTACCTAGAAAAAGCCAGAAGTGTGCTGTCCACTTAGTATCCCTGAAGTTTACTACAGATGAGCAAGAGCATAGTTCCTCATGAGATATGCTTTTCCTAGTGTTTACTTTGGTCATTTCTTTTCAAATCTCTTGGGGAAAAAAATTAAAAGTTACAGTTTTAGCGCCACAGCAATAGCTACAATTACAGCTAATGCACCCCCAATCAATTTGTAAAGCAATTTGATACACCTTATTTGTTTTTCCATACTCAACATTCACTGTGGAAGATAAATTCTTAGGTGAGAGCTAATTTGTACAAGTTCCTGTACTCTCATAAAAAAATTGCAATACTGCACTGTAAAACCAATTAACCAGTTAATCTTTAAAGGCTTCATGCAGAAAAAGATAATTTGACTTTACAAAGTCATGCAAAGCATCAAACCTCTGAGAGCTCCAAGAAACTGCAGTTACTTCTATTCCTTACCCTAGAGTACTTTCTTCTTTGTGGCGTTGCCTATGTTTTTCTCCAAGGACATAATCACCATTTAAGAAATAACCTGTCAAAAGTGTTAAGGCATTCTCCAAACTATCTTCCCAGCTCCAAATCACAATGAAAAATGTCACACACCTAAATTGTTCCATTGCTTTTTTCCTTTATTCCTTCAAATGAACTTAAGATTTTTTAAAAAGCACAATTCGAATTTTACACTACACCCCAAGCTACCACTGATCATATCAAAGCTAATAAACAAAGACTCTAGCGGCGGCACCAGGGCCCTACCAGGAAGTAATCAAAGCAGTGTGGCTGGTGCGATCCTAAGTCGCTGGAGCAGACAATAAGAGGGCACTGGGGCTTCCAAAGAGCCCGGCAGAAGGAGTTAAGATGCTGAAGTAACGCAAAAGCATTACATCAACCTAATACCTGTTCTACAGCACCTGAACTTGGGAATCCTAACCCAATTTCAGACAACCCAGAAGATCTGAACAGCAACTCGAGCCGCCCCTCCAAACCAGCGGCTGGCTCAGCCTCCGGAGCTTTTTAGCCCGTAGCCTGTTTTCAAACTTCACCCTCCCTGGCTGATGAAAGACTCCGACCTCCGCCGCCCGAGTTCCGAATTCCGAGCGCCTCTCGCGGCTGAGGATTCCCACCTGGCGTGGATCGAGTTGCCCGAGCCTGCCGGGAAGCGAAGGGAAACGAAAGGAAGCGGGGCCGAGGAAGCGGCGAAGGGCCCCAGCGCGTCCCGCAGCCCAGACAAAGCTGCGCCGGGAGAGCGGCGCTTTTCTCGTGCGCCGGAGAAGGGACGCAACCCGGGCCCGGCCACACGTGCGGCAGCATCGGGGGGGGCCGGACACCCGCCCCCACAGCCCCGGACCCCGCAACACGGGTGAGCACGGCCCCCCAGCAGGGCGGGGCGGGGGGGCGAGCTGCCGGCCGGGCTCCCCGCCCGCCGCCGCCCCCACGCGCTCGTGGCCCCCGCGGGCTCCCGCCCCTCTCGGGCCTCTCCTCAGCCGGCCGGGCCGTCGGGCCGCGGGAAACAAAGGAGCCGCCGCCGCTCCACCCGCCGCGCCCGCCCGAGCCCGCCTCACCGCGTACCCCTCCCCGGCCGCCGGGCCCGGCTCGCCCGCACCCCTTTCCGGGTCCACGCGCCGGCCGCCCGCGGCCCCTAGACGGCAGGCCCGGCGAGGCCGGGGCCTCGGGTGCGCGGCAGGGCCGCCCCGGGGCCGCACTCACCGCTGCAACACCAGGACGACGGGGAGCCGTTGGGGAACTTGGCTGAGTCCGGAGCGATGCAGACGCTGGAGCTGAGGTGCGGACACTCCATGGCCACGAGTAGGGCGGCGAGGAAGACGGAGGCTCAGGGACTTGGAGACGCGAGGGCGGAGGGGCTCCGAAGGCTCCGTCTGGGGTCGCTCCTCGCCGGGCGCTCGGCCGACGGCGGCTGCGTCCCGAGCCCTTGCGTCAAAGAAAGCAAAGGCTTCCGGGCGCCGGGTTTTCCCACCCGCCGTCTCCAGAAGCCCCGCTCCGAAGAACGTGGAATTCCGGGATCCGGGTTCTACCGCCACTCCTAGGCTGAAGGCTTCCGTCTTCCCAGGCCGGCCCGGCCCCGCCCCGCCCCCAGACCCGGCCCCGCCCCCAGACCCGGCCCCGCCCCGCCCCCTCCCGCCGGGTGGGGTCCCGGAGCGCGCGGGCGGGTGGCCCTGAGATTCAGGCTGCGTTCGCGAGTGACTTCCCAACTCTGCCGCACGGGGCGGCCACGGCTTCTCCCACCCCTCCGCACGGGTAAGGGTGGGGCGCCAAGCCCCGGCACGCCGGGCAGGTCCGCTGCGTTTACCGCGGAGGAACGAGTGCTCTCAGAGAAGACTGATCCTGCGCGTGGTGTGGTGGTCTGACGACACTGTGGTAGAAAATCTAGCCACTCAGGAAAGTGTGAAGAAGCAAATAAAAACCACTCGGGCAGACAGGCACTGTAGGTCCCATTTTACACACGGAAACACAAGCTCAGAGAGATTAAGTTACTGGCTCTCGGTGGCCCAGCCGGCTGCGTCGGTCCCAGAGTAGTCCCGATTTAGTGTTATGCTCCCTGCGACAGGTGCGATACTGACCCAGTTCTAGGTCCTGAACACGTGGCCTTTAGCCAGCCACCTGGGTACTGTGTGGCTGGGCCCGCGGGGGCGCCCACGAACCTGGGATCAGATCTTGTCACCGTGACTCCCCATCTGCGTTACCTGGAGCACGTGGTTGGACTTTGAGACTTCACTCACCAGTGGAGGTTCAAGTGAGATAGATGTAACCTGGGTTTGCTGAGCGCGAGGTCCCAGTTCCCAGGTGATAAAAAGGGAAGGGATCTAACATGTGTTAAACACCCACTACCGTCTTCTAGCCGGGCACTTTACACACAGTATCTCATTTAAACCTCGCACCACTCTGCAGGCTGCTGTTACCGTGCTCTTTTTGGCCTGAGGGAAACTGAGTTTGTAATTGGTTAATCCGTGCGGGCCTGGATCCCCGGCTCTTTGACCTCTTTATGGAAAAGGGGACAGGGCAAGTCTCAATTGGCCGCTTGGGCCGGCATTACCCCCGAGCTAGCCTTCGATCTCTCTGGGGAACGGCCTTGAGGACGTCCGGGGCTATTACAAATATTGCCTCCAAGTTGGGGCTTCTTGTAAAACCCGGCGAAGGAGCTGGAGGGCCAGGAGGCGAGCAGGGAGAGGGGGGAGGCTGATGTGGCAATGCTGCGGGCAGGGCGAAAGGGGGAAGGAAGGTCAGGAAATGATTAACCGGGCCGGGCCGCGTAGTGGTTAGAGCAGGGCACCTCCCCGCCGCGCGGTCCTGGAGGAGCCCAGGGACGCCCGCCGGGTCACTTCTCACTGCCCCCTTCCCCCCCTCCCCCCCCCCCCCACTCTGCCGCGACTCGGTTTCTTCCGCACGCTCCTCTGCTGCTTGAAGTTCAGTCACCTGGGGCATCTCTGCCCACCCTTTCCCCCGGTAATATTTTGGAATTAAAGCTCTTCTGTCGCTTTCCAAGTTTTATTTGATTGCTTTTAGAGCAAGCCCGGGTTTGGAGATTTTAGGACAGTGAGGAGTTGTGGAAAGTGCAGTTGCTCAAATCTTAGCTCTGTTGCCTGCTTGATGGCCAATTTTAGCAAGTGTCTCTAGTCCTCCCAAGCTTTTTTTCTCTCTCTTTTTTTTAATCTGTAAAACTGGAAAAATAATACTTATCTCACAAGGAAGATGTGAGAATTCATGAGAATTGCCACTACTTAGTAGATAGCCAATAATTTATAAAGCTTTTTTTTTTTTTAATAGCCGGTGAGGGCATAATACCCTAGGAAGGGAGTGGATAAACAATAAATCAGACCTTTGCTCAATCTGACCTTCCAGCCCTCTCCGCTTTTTCTTCCAAGGCCTGGCTAGACCAACCTCTGGTTCTCTCTAGACAACTACCCCCCATTTAGTATCCATACCCTCTCATTTAGCCATGGAACATGCAGTGTGACCCATGTCGTCTTCCATAAACAGCATGTAATGCTTCTTTTTCCACTCTCTGAAAGACTCAGTTTCCTTATCCTCTAGACCTCAGCTTAAACATCACTTCCTCAGGGAGGCCTTTCCTGACCCCACTCCACCCCAGGTTACCTCCAGATATGTGATGCCCTTGTTTGCCCTCACACTCTGCCTTTTAAAAACACTCTTCATGCATGTAATTATTTGTTTAATGTCTCTCTCTTTCCCTTGGAGGTCCATACGGATAGCAAACAAGTCTGTATGGTTTCCTGCTGTATTCCTGACATAACCTGTGGAAAATGTAGGATGTCCAATAAATAGGTGTTAAATAATGAATGGTCGATTAGCAATGTCTACCTTGGGCAGGAGCATAGGAAGTGGCTGAGTATATGTCAGGTATTTGCTTCTCCCCCTCAACCCCCAGGTAATCTCTAAATTTCCTTTTGGCTCTGAGTGTATCATTTTAACGGCATTAGGAATGTGAAAGCCCCTAAGGTGTAAACTGCTTTAAAAAAAGAAAGAAAGAAAGAAACCAAAGAGAGAAGAAGGAGGAGAAGAAGAAGAAGAAGAAAGAGAAGATTTTCATTAGCCTCTTCTCCTCTCAACCAGAATTAAAAACTCCTCCGGAGCAGGGGCCCTAATTTAGTCATCACTGACTGCTAAAGTCCCCAGAGGGTGAACTATGACTTTCAAACAGTCCAGAGAAGCTGGCAAAATCAGAAAGGCCCTCCTGGGGCTTTCACTAGATTTCCCTAAAACTAGAGACAGAACTTTCCTGTGTCTCTGAAAGTTTTCATTAAAAAAAAACAAAAAACAAAAAGCCTTCGCGGTGAGTAAATGTGTCAAACTCGGGGAAGACCATGGGGCACACTGGGAAATCCGCTTTCTCAGTCCCTAATCTCTTCGGCTACATACAACAACAACGTTTGCTTTTTTGTTCTTGGCGCACATCCCTTTGGCGCTGAGGAGCTCTGATACACTTAAAGCCCTAGTGGTGACCAGCCAGCCTCCGGCTCCGGCCCTGGGGACCACGGCTGCGGGGATTCCCCGACCAGCCCCCTCCCACCCACCCCCGTCGCGAGGCCCAGGCGGGGGATGGGGGCGCTCCTGCCAGAAGAGGCGGGTGTGTTTTCAAACTTTGCACCTTTCAGAGGAGAGGAATACACGATTTCGACCATGCTATCAAATGTTTCTCTTCTAAAAAAAAAAAAAAAAAAATATATATATATATATATATATATATATATATATATATATATATATATATATATATAAAGGAGGAGGGTTGCTGAGAGGGGACGTCATACATTGCCATGGGAACAACGATCAGGAAAGGTGTCAAGATTGCTGTGACCTTCCCCTAGCCTTACACTTGAGACTAGCAGCGGAATCGGGGGTCCCGCCCAAAGCAAGGATTACAAACTGACCAGGCCCCGGGGAAGACTTAGCTTTGACTATCCCCACGCAGGCAAGGCTTATTGGAAGCACCCAGAGAGCTGAGTTAATTATTTACCCTAGAGATTTTTCTAGGAGCAAAGCCTCCTTGGGAAACCAAAGTTAGAGCTAGAGAAGGCTCGGTGAATATTCGGGGGGGAGGGGCGGGGGGGGCGGGGGAGGAGGAACAGTGCCTCAGGGACTCTTTTTATCACCTGATTTAATTTTCCAAGAATCACTAATCTGATACTTGCTGGCTTGGTTACTTGTTTATCTATTATCATTCTCTTCCATGAGAACAGAGACCTTTCCAGTCCTGTTCACTGCCTGACTTCCAGCTCCTGGAATTCTGCCTGGTCCTTGGCAGGTCCTCGGTAACTATTTGAATGACTGAAGGAAGGAAGGTGGGCGTGGCCGTTAGCCAGCAAAGGGCTCTTTTTCGCTCTCAGGAATCCCAGCAGCTTCATTCTCCCACTTCTTCCCATTTACCCGTTTCGCACTATCTCCCTGCCCAAAATTCTTCAGTGGCTCCCCATCTCTGGCAAGATAAAATCAATCGAAAACCCACCTGCCATCACAGTCACCTGTCCCTTCTCCTTTGCTAAGGTTTATTCATTCATTCATTCACTCATTCATTTATTATTTTTACTGTTCCAGCAGTACCAAAAAAAGCTCCTTCATTATAGAAAATATGCTTCCTTACACCTCTGTGTCCTTCCTCATCTGTCTGCCTTCTACCCGGCCAGTTCCTACTCCTTCCCCATGAAACACATAACCTCAAGGAAGTCCTCCATCACTCACCTAAGCAAACTTCTAAGCCCCCGCCCCCACCCCCACCCCATTCTGTTCCATTAGCTTGTCACATAGTGCTGTTACTTTCTGTTTACCGCTCAGTCTCCCTTGGGAACAGATGCTTTTCTTTTTCTCTATGGATACTAGGCACCTAGTTCAGCAATTTCAGATGTTAAGAAAAGATCGTATTTGTTGATTGAATGTTGAAAATGCCCCTTTTGAGAGTGATTATATCAATCATTACATGTAATGGTCCCCTAGGTATTCACAGAAAGAACTGCAATTAGGTAACAACAGAAACTTAACGTTTTGGGATCCCAACTAGGTGCCAAATACTGTATCAAGTGGTTTTCATTTCTTCTTTAATCCCCACAACTAACCTGAGAGGTAGGTATTATCATTTTCATTTTGATGGTGAAAGAACTAAAGCTCAAAGAAGGTGAAATAAGTGCACAATTTTACACAATTAGTACTTGGTCTTTTGTCAAAGGTGGTAGAATTTCACCCCTCATACACTTGGTCAGCTAAAGGATTTTGCAGTATTATGTGGGGGTAGCTGAAGTTCCTAATAATGAAGTCTCTAAGGTACCAAAGGACACAGAATAACCTTCTGACTAAAGAAAGAATCATTTCAGACCATTGTAATAATCATTATGTCATCAACATCTTCATTTGTATTGCTTTTAATGCTTTCTTCTTTATCATTGAAATGTGGAACTTCACAGCACTTTCAGGAAGGTGATGGGAAAGTTCTCCTGTTTAAAGACCCACCTTGCAGATAAAGCACTGCACGATTAAGCAAAAACAGTGTGGCCCTAGCACCAAACAACTGTGACAGTGAGGAATTACTTCTGTCTCTAGGCC